GTATGCCTATGTCTATGTTGGGCACTGTAAGATGTAAATGTATGGTGGATATAAAATTCCTGTTTGGAAGGATAAATTCTCAGACAATCGGTTTCCCGTCGAGATATTTGGCAGTACGGAAGTGCGTCCTCGAATCAATTCACTAAACAAGCAGAAAACTGAGAAATAAAGAGAACTTTGAAGTTATTTTATGTCCAAGGCAATAATAATAGTCTACACGCTGTGTAAAGCGAATGTTTTCTATGTAGATGTGGAATAGATCAATCCGCACGTTCTGAACGGTGAGTTAAATTAAACTTTATACTTTTACATATTTTCAGTAGTGGCTGCTCGTTGTTGGTTGATCTCAATACAGGGCTGAGGTTGACATTTTTCACGGTAGTAGCGGCTATTTTGGCATTCGCATTTTGGAAGTAGAGCAGACACAACAAATAATGAAACAGTCTCGCGGAAACTATCCTTGGGATCAAATAAAGTGTCGGGGATGTGTGTCGTTTGCGAGCGGCAGTCTCTTACCCTCTCTTATTCAGTGAGAGAGATTTTAACTCGGCACTACGTGGTGAATAATATACTGAATGACGGTAAATGTCACAAGGATGAACATATCAACACAGCGAACTCGAAAGTGAAACATTAGCGCGATTAACTGCATTTTTTTGTCGAATATTTGCACGGATAGTGTTGGATTTGAATATGGCCATTCACTATTAATTAGACAAAGCAACATGGTGGTTAATAAAACTATTTTAAATGTCACAGACGGTTTGAAATCTGATCGATACCACAGCAAAATGGCAAATACACCTTGAAGTAGACTTGGTATAGATAAGTAAACGTGTTTTAACTATATTTTAATATTTATGCTGATATAATATGGTATACAATCAACGACGGCTGTGGCCCGAGTCCAATCACTTGCGGCTGCCGGAAATGAAATGTATAAAGCTGCTTTCCATGGAAAGCATGAATTAATAAAAGCACAGCATCTTGTCAGTTTTCTGCATGAATTGAAGTCTATTTGTCGATGTATTTATGTAAAATTTAGAAATATTTAATTAAACTTTTCCATACGTGCACGTGAGAAAACTGCTTATAATTACTGCTTTCCAGTTTAGAGGTCATGCTAACAAATTTGTTAGTTTATAAGTGTATATAATATACATATAAGAGAATAATTAAATTAGATACCAGAATATGGGTATTATTTATAGCCAAGGGCAAAGCTGTACTAACAATGCCTAGCCATTGATTTTGACGTGTTCTTCGTTGAACGCGGGTTAAAATAAGTAAGGAATGTTCTTCCTATAGGCGTGGTGACATTGGCAATAAAAAAATTAATTAAGTTTACTTGAAAGAACTCTTTAATATATATATTAAACTTTCTTACAGATTGTTTATATTTTGCTTAATTTTCAAAATATTTCGACTGAGAAAAGTGAGCTGTTTGCCATCTTGGATCATTGAGGTTATGCATGTTACGTCAAGAGAGGGGTCACGCTAATTTTTTTATCTTGAGAGTAAGCGATCAATATGAGTCCAAAACTTCGTCTCTGGTTGCTGTCTGAAATTTAGAAATGATTAAAAACATTGGAAAATTTTTCGGTCACTTTAGAGTAGTTTTATATGGTTAACCAAACTCCTGAGGTCATCAAAACCATAGTTAAAGGGATATGGCAATAAAAATCAACTTTGTCTTATTTGAAAGAACTTTTAAAATTATATCTGATGACCCTTTACAACTTTTTAGTGCCTCACTCGGTTTACGAAATATTTTGTCCGAAAACAGTGTGTAGTCCGCCATTTTGGTATTATAATTGACCTACTGTAATTAACTGACTTTTTATGACGTCACAAGCAGGGTAAACATGTTAAAACTTTTTCATTAAGAGTAGAAAAGTGAAAAGCAAGTCTATAGTCGCTAGCCCTAGGTCCCAGCGACTTAATATAAAAAATAATTCATACAACATATGTGATTTCCAAAGTGTAGTGCGACTATCGCAAACCGAAATAAACATATTACATCATTACACATTTTTGTCATTTCACGTATTTTCAAATGACTGAACCCTTGAACTGATTACCATTTGTTTGAAGTTGGCAGTTTAAAATGACACAAATGAGAAACCCAATATAAAATATAAAAAATTTACCTGTCTTTTGATTATTGTATCGAAGGTAGAAACATGAGTGATCATGCACATATCGTAATGGTCAATGAATATCGCGATATTGTTTGGCATGTGTACATCGTTCCTCCAACATACAATTTTCCCAGCTTTGCCATTATCGCAGTGGACAGCTTTATGCAATGATGAAATAAAATTTGATCTTTATAAATAAGATATGAACTGATGTATCTTATTTTTGTCACGTTAATATGTTTTTACTGTATATTATCTAAAATTGCAACAACGGTATTGTTTTTAATACATTTATCGCGATATTATCGAATAATTTCCTAAACAATAATCATGATGTGTTTTGTTTAATATCGCCCAACCCTACTGGAGTTTCGAAACATTGCGTCGTAAACTGTAAACTCTTTATGTTACGTCCATTAAATTTACAAGTCAGACCTGTTTGCTCTGAACATGTGCCTTATCGATGTTTTTCTTTGTATCAGTTTTTCAGGTCCTTTTTTCCCGTGTCATTTATGCTCATAAAGTCAGCCAACATGGCTTTGCAGCCGTATTCTGATGAAGAGCTGAACTACTTCAAGTTTGCGTCAATTGTCCTAAAGGAATTCCCAGATGCTTTGCGTAGCATCTTTGTAGACATGTGGGACACCAGAGTTGCACCAAGTTCTACAGTTTGGGATGACTCGCCTCTTGTACGCAATATACTCCACAACAATGAGGCTCCAAACACAAAGATCCCCACGAACAACTCATTTAAAGAGTGGGACTGCACTGCACTATTTCAAGCCACTCTGTATGCAAGAACATTTGCGCTACCAGACAGCACAGGGAAGAAAAAGACGCTTGGAGAAATATATTTAAAAGGACGGAAGCCAGTCCCTGCTCCATTCCACTCTGCCGTGAGGAGCTCGAGCGGAGATGCAAATGAAACGATTGCACTTGCCATTGATCAGCTTCGTCTTTTACGAAACATTCTTTGTCATACGTCCAGCCCTCGAATTAATAAAGTCACGTTCGATGACTATGTCAAGCACGCCAAAGACGCGTTCGCTGCTTTGAATTTTAGCAAGACATCTCTGGAGAGGATTGGCAACTTGAAAGAATTGGATTTCCCTACAAAGGAAGTAGAAAAACTTAATGAAGAAATCAATCATCTGAGAAATGACTTCCATCTGTTTCTTGAAAATGAGGTTAAACATGAAATGACTGAAGTGAAATATGAAATGAGTGAAGTGAAACAAAAACTGAATAGCATTGAAGAAATATTAACACAGACAGAAGATACCACAGGTATGTTGTTTATGTAATATTATAGATTAATTATAGATTTCCCTATTGGAAAGCTGCATTTATACCATATGATCAGTCAATTTATCATTAAATTTCCCCAGCCGTTGTTTTTAAGGTTCGTAAGTTGATATGCACCGCGCTACATAGGGGGAGAGCGAGGGTGGGAGAAGCTAGGAGGGGGATGCGCTGCTACACAGGCTAGCCCCGCTCCAGAAAGGTATTCTTCATCCACGGGATAATATTCCGCCGAATTCCTCGAGAGGGTATACAGTAAGTTGTTGGTGTTTCGTCATTGATGATTGTTAAAACTGCTTGTAGCTGCAGGCAGAACAACATCAAATAAGTCTTTTCCAAGAATACAAAGATTAGTTATTCTGCTGGGAAAATCACCCAAGAGAGCAAAGGACAACCAAGAACTCGACAAAAAAACTTTTATTTGGGTGGTAAGCATGCTTTCACTGCCAAAAAACAAAAGAACAAAACCAAGAATGCTGATGAACGGCTTATGACAATACAAAACTACAATAAAATACTCTCCTGGGTATTTTTGCCTTGCAGTAAAACGTAAACAAAATAGGGGTCTATAGGACTCTTGTGTTTTTTTGCGTTCAACATAGCGATTCATAAGGATATAAACGGAGTACATGCAAACAAAAAATATATTTAAAATGGCAGGTATATAAAAGTGGCCTATTTCGAATCATGAAAATGCATCGCTTATCATGTATAAATATCGTGCAAAACCGTATACTACCGTATGATGTACTCTGCATCACGTATCGATTTCTTTCTGACCATTGTCGATGGACAGTTTAATCCCTGAACCCCAAGGTCATTAAAATCCTTCAATTCTTCTCCAGCAATGCTTTTTAATGCGATATTACAAACATCACGGCCCTCTTGTTGACATCGCTGATTAAGCGACTTTTAGTAGCATCACAAACAAGTGATAAATTATGCTCTTTTCAAATCTTATTGGACACACAGCCAATACTTCAATACTGGTCAGCACACTAAATACACTTTCCTTTTGGTCACGCTTTAACAATGAAACAATGAGAAATTGTCGGAAACATTCGTCTCAACCATCCTCGGTGCACGATTCTGCCACATGAAAGGTTTGTCGATCAATTCATCTTCCAGCCAGTGGAAAACATACGTTGTCTGAACAACGCGGTGTACCCATTTTATGAGTAGAATGTCCACAGAGCCTTTTTCCCTTCCCTTTCCGCTCGTTCTCCGGCCGACAGGCGCTCGACATCTAGCTTCGCTTCTGTGATCCCAAAAGATCCCCTGAAGGGACTGTGATACAGTGTAGACATGCGATGATCAGTTGACTAGCGGAATCAATTCGCAGTCGCGGCAAACGCCGGGTCAAGTGAAGTTTTTCTCTGATTCTCTGCTATCGATGGTCACTTGGAGTAGTACCTAATACCATTGTGTGGTTTCAATTTACAGATGCTTTTGTCTCGGAAAATAAAAATAAAATCCATCTTGCATCCGTCTGTCTGTCTATCTATTTCATTTTTTTATTATTAATTTCTTTATTTGTGTGTATGTTGCTTTGTTTAGATCAGTGTGCTGCAACGTCGGACGCCAAATTCAAAGAATTTAACGACGTTCTTTTGTTGACAGTGGACGACACGGAGTTTAACGAAGCGCAAAAAATATTAAACAATGTCGAAATACCCAGCAAGAAAGACGAAAGTGACAAAAACTGTTTATTTGGAAAAATAGGCAGAAATAAAGTGACGCTCTTAAAAGTTCCATACTTAGGCAAGACCGGCACTTCGTCAGGCCATGATGTTCTTGTTTATGAAACAATCCAAGAACTTAAACCGAAAGCTATTGTTAGTCTGGGAGTTTGCGATGGTGTAAGGAAAGAAGCACATTTCCTTGGTGATGTCGTAATGTCATCGCAAGTTTGCTTTCTTGAGCAACAGGATGATGATTTGTCGAATTTTGATCCTACAACGTATGACTGCAATTTGGGATTGGTGCGTTTGTTTGACCGTGGCAAATTTGCGTGGGTTGGTCCTTGTGAAAATGTGGTAGTTCCAAAAGTCCATGTTGGTCAGTTTACGACAGGTTTACAAGATGGTGACGACAAAAAGAGGGATTCGCACAAAGGGGGAACCATTGGAATGGACACGGCGTCAAAAAGTAGGTATACTAATGCGAACGATCGGAATAATTTCCTCGTGAAACAGGAAAAATAAACAAAAACTGTTTGCTAAATTTAATCTTGTCAGTTAGAAGCGCTGTTCCAGCAATGGTTGCGCAGTAAAAATAGATAAATAGACAGACTCTAATGAAAAGACGTAACCAATTTCATAACTAATTTCATTTTAGTCAATTTACTCATTTCTGATTGGCTAAAAACTGTACCGATTAAAATTAATCGGGACGAATAAGAGCCCGCGTCCACTCTGCACGGTCTCGTGAGTGCAGAAATTTTAAACACAAAACCAAAAATTTTAAACAATGTGAAAGTTTATATTGTCTGAGCTCTTATTTATGTTCAAATAAAGAAGAACAAGAAGAAATAAAGACTATTTACAGTTTTTCTAGGTATGAATTGAAAATTAGTGTCAGATATTCAAAATTGGAATTACCCTCATGATACGCACTCGCGGTATTATAAATATTAGACTGTTCAAAATTTATTATTCAAATATTCAAGATGGCTGCCATTCCAACAACCTTTAAGCTTGGGATGGCAATGCTCAGAGAGGATCGAATCTGCAAGTTTCTGATGACCGATCAGACGCGCTAACCAAAGGCTCGTGGAGAACTAAAGCTCGTCAGAAAATTGACAGAAACATGTGTCCTTCCGGCTAACGTTCTCGTGTGAAACACATGAAAGTCTTCGAGCTCCGATATTTCCCTTAAAAGTCAATGATAACGTCAATTTTATCGTTTTAAGGTGTATATGCAACTTGTCAGAACTCTGGAGTACCGTGGCTGTCCTGTAAATCCATTACAAAGTGGGCAAATGATGAAGGTCAAAATTCGACTTGGTGCCAATTTGGTGCGGCAGTTTCAGCTTCTTACGTTCAACATGTGCTGAAGAGATTTTATATTCCACACGAAGTTCAAGGTATGTACACAGTTACCAAATATATAAAGAAGAATACACAGAATTAACATATTCGGAAAATCGGGTTGGCCATTCGGAAAATTACGGCAATAATAGTATAACAAAATTTTAGTTGTTTAAACAGAGAAAATATTATAAAATGATATTGTCAGTATAAACCATTGGTATAAACTGATTTACGAAATCACGGCATTTACATGGATAACGTAAAACAAATCGTAAATCGGTAAATGTTTTTCGGTTTATTACTTCTCAGGGCCGTAGCAATCGGGGGGAGGGGGACTGGGGGCAGCAGCCCTTACAGATACAGATACAGATACAGATATTTCACAACACACTCCCTATAGGGCTTTTCAGTGACTGGTTACATTATGAATAGATAGATAGAACCGGACTGACGTGAAGCAGACCGAGATAGACTTTGAGCTTACAAATGGTGCTTGTGCAGCCGCTACTAGTCCGTACCTCATTAATGATCTGCCTCCAGACCTATGTGCCTAACCCACCCTGTCAACTTTCCCTGTGGGAGGAAGCACGGAGCACCCGGAGAAAACCCACGACTTCCGGCAGAGCGTTGACTGTTTTACTCTTTTCACATGAGGACTGGGTTCGAGTCACATTGAGAAGTTGTCACTGAGATTCGAACCTGCGACCTTAGAGGTGAAAGGCAAGTGCGCTAACCACTTCGATTAATTTGCTGATAAACATTCTTTTTTCAAAATCATGCACACCTTTATCATTTAAATAATATACCTTTAGAATACTGACAATAGACTAGAGGTGTGCATCGGTTCGGATTGGACGTTTATAATCCGACAATTGCCTAATGTTTAAAATCCGATTCGAAATTGTCTAATCCGAATCCTATCCGAGTTTTGAAAAAGAATTCCAATCCGATCCGATGAATTCTTTAATAAAACAAATTTCTCATTCAAGTTGAAACATTTAACCAAATAAATATAAAAGCAAGAAATACATGTCAAGAAGCTGACAAAGTGACGTCCAATTGAAGTGTCAAACGAATAATGCAGCGAAAACCGCGATGATACTTTGATAAATGTAAGTAGTAATACCCCCCCCCGTCTGGCGGCGGAAGTAATTAGTATGCAAACTTAGGTGTCGGAATTAATTAGTATGCAGGATCTATGACGTCACTTTGTTCGGCTAACAATCTGGCGGATTTTATAATGAGCTTGCAGAATCTATGACACCAGGTAGCGCGACCAATTAACGCGGGCAGGCCTGGGCCAACTGCGGCAGGTAGCGCGACCAGTTAACGCGAGCAGGTCTGGCCCAAATGTGGCAGGCAACCAATTAGCATTACGACAGGTAGCGCGACCGATTAACGCGGGCAGGTCTGGACCAGATGTGGCAGGTGACCAATTAGCATTACAGTAATGAGATCAATTAGCGGCACAGCACAGTAGCGCGACCAAACAAATTATCAGAGATTATAAATATCGTGTTTCGAACACACGTTTCATTTCTCACTGTTGCGTTTTGACAAGTGTTCTATGGTTTTCTCTGGTGAAGTGTTCTCGGCTTTTGGATTGCGTTGGATTGTTTTTAAAATGGCTCATTCGGTAAGTTTGTGTATTTGTTTTGAATATATGTTTACGATAGTTTCAGAGTCATAGGCTGGATAAAATTGTTTTTGAATATATGTTTACGATAGTTTTAGATTAATATGTTTATGATATTTCTAGATTAATACGTTGGATCTTATCAAAGCTTGTGAAGCTGAAAGTGAACTCGACTTTCTTCAGGAGTCGTTTGTTCTGACTGATGAGCAGAAGGAAGCTGTTCTTCAACAGCGCATTATATTTTGGACGAACGCGATGGCCGAAGATATTGAACGGGAGAATCCGGTTGGAGTTGACCCTGATATGATGGCAAACTGGACAGAGGATCAACGTCGCCTGTTCAACGAAGACTGGGCCAATGATGATGGTTTATGCGAACTCGAACATTTGCCTGAACCGCCACAAAACCAAATAGGTGAAGGGAGCAAGCGAAAGCACGCCAGTAATGACGTCCCCTCGAGGCGCCAAAGACCAGAGGAGTATTTCACTATTAAATCAGCCAGGCAAGTCAGCGTGAGGAAATTCAGGACGACAGGTACACATTGAACTGTTTTTATATTTTTAAGCGTAACATCGGCTACGTGTGGGATATAGATTGTTATGTGCGAGTAAGGTTTCGTTTTTATTAGGCTCCATTTACACTGTACCGGATTGCTATCGGAGTGGGTCAAATTTTGTAGCTATCGAAAGGTTGTGGGTTTTTTTAATCTCAGAGGGCCAAATAAACATGCCAGTTCTGTCGAACTAATAAGCATTTGCTACTAGCCATTGCTCCGTAACGGCAAAAGAAGATGTAGTGACCAGCGAATCCGGTATAGTGTAAACCGGGGCTTGTAAGAGTTGTGTTTATTGCTTATATGTACATCTGTAGTTGGCTGTACGAAGGATGTCCAACAAATAAGCTTTTTATAAATGGTCATAACTCTCAAATGAGGCTTTAGTACTTACAGGGCTTACGCTTTGAATTGCAGCTAGATTTTTCAAGTAGCACTATCCGGTAAATAACGAACTTAAGACCTACGACCCGGCCGGCTCAACGACACGCTTGTGAAAGAAAGAAATTTGTTATGCAAGACAAAAACTATCAATAATTCGTGGTCTCAGGGGTATTTTCAAAGGCTTTGTCGTGCTAAACAAAACGTTAAACTAAGCATTATCACGACTTTCACGCAAGGTGAACGCTTATTGCGACCCTAAAACCGTCTTAAAGTCGCAATTACAGCAAACACTGCATCGCTTTAGTCGAACTTAGCAGTTTTTAAGGTTATTTGAAAAATCTTCAAACATTTATTACGGTAATGTAATTGCTTAGGGCTCATTCTTGAACTGATATTCAGACCGCGTAGTTGAGCTGGCGCGTCATAGATCTTGAGCTCTCTATTAGTGTTGTTTGTACAACCTTCCGTTTTTAGGTATCCAAATTATTCTATATTACAGGGTAATAATGTTACAATGATCATGATCTATATAATGATTATTGCTATAAAAATAACGCAATGGTGTAAACGCGCCACATTTGCCTTGGCCAGTAGACGAAGGCTTGTAGTGTAAACACGACTCATGAAATGTTGGGTGTTTAAGGCTACTTCTTACCAACCATAGTCTTTCTGATTCCTATTACTTGGTTAGTACAATAGTGTATTACGGTTTTTTAGGCACAGACTATACTGTTCGATTCAATCCGTTGGACGTGCACGGGGTGTCGAACGTCATGTCGACGTTGAACCGCGCATTTCAACACTTATTTGACCGACTCACGAGTGACATGGCACCTCACGATCAAGTTCGCTTGATTCTCAACTCGGATCAGCTGGACAAATCCATTTCCTTGCCTTTCCTACAACGCGATCGTCTAACCCCCGAACGTTTCCTGGCAGCTGTTGAACGTGTCGTACAATCCAATGATCAATTTACTTTGGATGACTCTGTCAGTGTCAACGTGGTCCATGTCGAAATGCCTCAGGGTGGTACCGGTCGTAAGCGTGATGTTGTAAACCTCGAAAGTTTTCTCGGGAAAAAAGACTGTATCGTTTAAATTAAGAACAAGGATGATCTCTGTTGTGCCCGCGCGATCGTGGTGGCCAAAGCAATGCTGGACAAAGATCCAAAGTACAAGAGTATCGTTGATCATCGTCGAGGGATGCAATCACGCCTTGCTCGAGAACTCCACGAGGCTGCAGGTGTTTCTCTTGGTCCCTGTGGCATCCCGGAAGTCAAGATGTTCCAAGCAGCTCTTCCTGATTATCAACTCAACGTGATTTCCAAGGAACATTTGAATGCCCTCATCTACTCAGGTCCTGAAACAGAGAAACACCTATACTTGTACCACCATGACAGCCATTACAACGTGATCACCAGTATGCCTGCCTTCCTCGCCCGTAAACAGTATTGCCATAAATTCAAGAAAGGTTTCGACAAGATTACTGACCATCCCTGTGGCGATCTGTGCAAACTGTGTAATACCCAAAACTGTCCCATCGTTGAATGGAAATTTTGCAAAGACTGTAACCGTTTCTTTAAATGTGATGAATGTTTCAACCGCCATAAAGATGACGCCGGTCCTGCCCAATCCCTGTGTCGTGCTTTAATTAAATGCATGAAGTGCAAACGTGTTGTTACTCGTGCCAGTCTTCGTGATCATCATTGTGGCAAAGTGAGATGTTCCACCTGTCAGAAATACGTCAAACCAGAAAACCACCAATGTTATCTTCAACCTGTAAAGGCGAAGAAGGCACGATCCCCTGAAGAAGGAAACAATTTGCTCGATGATGATGTGGCCGTGGAAAACGACGTAGAAGACACCAAAAACTTAATGTTCTTCGACTTTGAGTGCACGCAAGACGATGGTAAACACGTCCCCAATCTCTGCGTAGTCCAGAACGAAAGCGGTGACGAGAAAGTCTTTTCTGACTTAGATCACGCATGCGTAATAAACGTAAAGAGTATTTTGTAAAATGGTTGGGCTACCCCAATAAATTTAGTTCTTGGGTACCAGCAGAGAGTGTAAAAGATATTAAATAAATGTATTTGAAACTTATCAGTTGTGTTCATTTGTGTATTGGTCTTCAATATGGCAACACAGTTTTATCTCACGCTACCGAGTAATAGTTCGTTGGCCTATTTTCCAAATAATACGGTAGCGAATTTTCGAGTGAAATTGGCTGAAACCATTGTATTGCCAGGACAGTGGGAAGTCGCATTGACGGAACTGCATTATCCACATACGTGGAGCACGCTAAGACGTGGAGTGCAACAAACGTTTTTATATAAAATTGGCAGTGACCCTTATCAAACTGTCGTGCTTAAAGAAACACAATATTCTTCTATCGACCAACTAACAAAAACACTCAATGCCGGCATGTCGAAAGAAACACAGACAAAAGTAAAGTTTAGTTATAATCGCAGTTCTCGCAAGGTTTTGATTGATGTAAAACACGGCACAACTGTGTGGTTTACCGGCGAATTAGCAACGGTCTTGGGATTTGACCAGGACACACTTATTGAAAAGAAAACGTCGAGTCCCTGTGCTGCAGATATCAATGGTGAATTTTCCTCCATGTATATCTATACTGATATCGTTGATGCACAGTTTGTGGGCGATGTGAAAGTTCCTTTACTACGAATCGTTAATATCGAAGGGAAATATGGAAACACAGTTCACGCCAGTTTTCGTAATTTGCAATACGTACCGGTCAAAGTAAATTCTTTTGAGACCATTGAAGTGAATATAAAGAATGACCAAAACGAAAACGTCTCATTTGAGTTCGGGAAGTCAATCGCAACACTTCACTTTAGACAGAAGAGATCTCAGTACTTTATCTAAAAATGCGCGGAAGACTAGTTGTGGATGCTAAACTATTGAAAGACCATTTCTTGAGACAACAGCTTGGTGGGAATATCGCTGGGTTTCGTGGTGCACGTATGCAAAGGGGATATGGGATCGGAAGTATTTTTAAGAGTCTTGCGAGATATGCTATCCCTCTGTTCAAACAAGGTGCTAAAGTTGTTGGTAAAAGAGCATTGCAAGCAGCCACAGAAGTCGGTCAAGATGTACTCGAAGGAAACAATGTAAAAGAAGCTTTTAAATCACGAGGAAAACAAGCAGTATCTGATGTTGCCAAGAAAGTAATGACCGGAAAGGGTCGCAAAAAGGGTATAAAAAGAGCAGCGCCAACTAAAACTCCCATTCGCGGTCCAACCAAGAAGCAGAAAACATCTCTCGATAACTATAGTCCAAAGTGGCATGGCTCTTGAAACAATGCATAAAGACTCCTGTATGTGTTCAAAATCTGAACTTGATTTATTTTCTGTTCCACCGACTCAAGTGGTAATGGAAAAAGGATTTTGGGAAGATGTTGATCCTATTACGAGTATATCTTCTTCAGATACGATAGAATTTTTATGTGCTGCAAATTCTGGAGTTTATACTGACTTAGCAAGCAGTTACCTATACGTTAAAGCAAAGATCACTACTGCGGCCGGAGGTAATGTGGGTGCCGACATTCAAGTTGGACCTTCAAACCTTTGGATGCATGCATTATTCTCACAAGTTGAAGTATTTCTGAACAACAAACTGGTCACCCCATCAAGCACAGCCTACCCTTACCGAGCGTATATCGAAACGATCCTGAACTTTAGTAAAGATGCCAAAGATTCACATTTGACCTCAGCACTGTTCTATAAAGATAAAGCTGGAAAGATGGATGCAGTAAACCTGCTCGCACAAGATGCCCACGTCAACACGGGATTAAAACAACGCCATGCATATACACGTGAAAGCAAATCTGTCGCCATGGAAGGAAGACTTCATTCTGATCTATTCGCGCAAGACCGTTATATTCTTGGTGCTGTTCCAATCAAAATCAAGCTGGTGAGATCTAGAGATCCGTTTTGTTTGGTATCATCCGCAGAAGATCCCAATTTCAAAGTGGTCATCGAGGAATGTTTGTTTCGTGTACGACGAGTTAACGTAGCCCCTAGCATTATACTGGCTCATTCCCAGTCCCTTCAACAAATCACTGCCAAATACCCAATCAACAGGATCGACTGCAAGGTTGTCTTCGTACCTCGGGGGAATATGTCTGGAAATCAACCTAATATATTTCAAGGTGGTTTACCAAATCGTATCGCGATTGGAATGGTCGACGCGGATGCCTTTAACGGTACATATACGAAGAACCCGTTCAACTTTAAATATTACGATATCACAACCATGGGTCTCACTGTCAACGGAGAGAACTTACCTGGAAAACCACTACAGTTGAAATTCGGAGCAGACAGTAATTACATTTCTGCTTTTCAAACCCTGTACGCCGGCGCACACAAGATTTTTGATAATCAGGGTAATGGTATAACGCGTGAAGAATATGCAAACGGTTATACACTGTTTGTGTTCGACCTCACTCCTGATTTATGCCTTGGGGATCATGTACAACCGATTAAGAACGGAAATGTGTCAATTGAATGTCGATTTGGAACACCGTTGGAGACAGCTATAAATATCGTGGTACTTGGTGAATTTCAAAGTCTTATCGAAATTGATGCGAACCGAAACGTGCTGTGTGATTTCAACAACTAAAGATGAACTCGCTGCAGATTATGAACATTCTCAAGAATGATCCATTTACAAAAACGGTGTTTACGGACGTTTTACCGTCAGATCGTTTACCTCGCGAAATAAGAAAAAGGCCTAGAGGGTACATACTTAACACGGACGCATCGGATATGCCCGGATCACACTGGATTGCAATGTACCTTACAGAAGATGGTAAAGGAGAATTTTGGGATTCGTATGGTCAGGCTCCTGGATTTTACAATCAGAACTTTACTCAATTTTTGGACAAACACTGCGGTACATTTACATGGAACAGAAGAATTTTGCAAGCCCCTTCATCAGGCGTGTGTGGACAGTATACATTATTCTTTGCTTTACATCGATGTAGACGTATTCCAATGTCAACCATTGCAAATATGTTTGCGGATAGCAAAGAATGGAATGATGAGCTTGTGCGTGACTTTATAGACAAGTGGTACAAACACTAGATTTAGTTTAAAAACATTTATTGTAAAATATTCTCTTACAAGAAATAAATTATTTTAACCATTTATATGGACTACTAATATTGTCTCTACGGTTTTTTCTCTTTTCTTGCACTCGAGGGGTGGTGGGTAGATTTTCCGGGATACCTTTGGTTTTATATTCGCGAACAATTCCAAGACGGTTTTCGTTTCTCACAATACCTTCGGGTACATTCAAATGCCCGAGAACTTTTGAAAACAATTCCCAGCCGTCGGGGTTGAAATTTTTCCTTTGACGTAGAGAATCATTCACCAAATCAACTATATTTGTGCTAGGAACCGATCTTCCTTTGAACACCATCTGGCCTTGTTCATTCCAACCAACAAGATCTTTATTTGACTTGAGTTTTTTGATGAGTTGTCGAGCTCTTGACTTCATAGTAGCTGGTACACTGTCCATGATATCTGTTTCAATCTCGTCTGAAGGTTCAGTCTCTTCACTCGGCTGTACTCCTTGAGGTTCTCCTTGAGGTTCTTCAGGTTTATCGGTGTGCGTCACGTTTACTCGGAGAGGTTTATTCATTCGTTTATCATAAAAGGTTAGATAGCGTTGTAGATTCTGGTCGTATAACTTTGCCTTTTCATCAATTGGTATATCTTGTCGTCGAATAATATCTTGCATGTCCGAGTCTATTTCGTTGACCTGTGTCGCCAAAGGCGCCGCGAGAGGTTTCTTTCGCTGTTCAGCCATATGTTCAGGGACAAGTACTAATCGCTTGACGTGTTCCATTATAAAAAGTTAGCCAACTGTTCCAAAACTGAAGTGAGTAGAAACGGTAGGAAACCCTCCCCTTTTTGGACTAGACGTGTTCTTCTTTTTACGATAGGATTTCTTTTGTCGGCCGCAAACTTTATATGCTTGGAATGCGGTGCAAGTTTTTTAGCTGTGTTCGGTTTCAGTTTAACCGTTTCAAACCAAACGTTTAAAAGACACTGTCTTATCGCTTCGAATAAATCGTCTTCAGCCGCTTTCAAAATAGCTTTTCTCAGTTCGGGTTTGCACTTGGCCAATACTTTCAGAAGTTCGGAGTTCCTCTTCATACAAGCAGACATGATCAAATGAACATTTTACACACGTTCCCACATTTTTATACTCTGGGTTGATATACATAATGCGTGTCGGTTGGAAAGATCCCGGATCGAATTCGTATCTCGTCAGGACATGTAGGAGTTAAGTCGACAAATAGATAAGAATAAGGTTCTTTCGTTGCCAATTGATAAGCTTGTTGGAAAAACTTCGTTTGAGTCGGGTATAGCTGTTTAGCGAGATGAGTAATTTGACTTGCATCGCGAACATTTTTCGTTAAACATAAATAACTTGCATTGAGAGATATTGTGCGATGCTCTTTGCTCTGGTGAAACAAGTTTTGCACAATGTAGATTACGCTTAGATTACCATGGTGCGATTTTTTCGTGAACAATTTAGAAATCACTCCGTCCTTCTCACCCATCATATCGTCAATAATGAACAAATTGCGCGTTTCTGGATTGATACTGTCCACTATATTATCCGGCAAGCCTTGTATGAATTTTATACCAGGCACTAAATTTTGTATTTCTCCAAACGCGTCTTGATATTCGGCATAGAAGTAAATAATGTTTTCAGGCGTTGGATCAATCAGCACATTGGCATAGCTGAGAAGCTTTTTCACAAAGGTGGTTTTGCCTGATTTTGTACCGCCAGAAACGAGAAGCCCAAACGGGTGTCTTAACTGTATGGAGTACATGATGAAAATGAAAGCAGATACTTTTCGATCAGTCTATTTATCTTTTGCAACTCGAACAATACCGTTGCTTTATCAATAGGCATTTTCCTAGCACGAATAAGGTATGGTTGTCTCTCTTGAGTAGATAGTTTATGAACATTGGTTAAAT